AAAATGCAGCAGCCCTCATGATCTTGTGCAGACCTCAGTGTGCACGTGGGTCACCTCTCCTGCGGTAGCTGCATTGGCAGCCAATTTGCTCCTGGGCACAATTCAAGGTGCTAGTGTCACTTTAAAGCCCTTCGTGGCTTGGGCCGGATTATCTGAGGGGCCGTCTCTTGCCGGTCACATCCACCCGACCCACTAGAGAGGGGAGGCCAGGAATGTTGAGGGATCCCGTCCCCTAAAGAGGTTCATCTGGCAGGACCCAGAAGAAGGGCCTTCTCCGTGGTGGCTCCCTCCCTTAGGAACACCATCCCTCTGGAAATTAGACCGGCCCCCACTCTGACCCTCTTTCGGAAGTCCTTGAAGACCTGGTTCTGCCAGCAGGCCTGGGGAATCCAAAGTGGGGTGGAACCCATTAAATGGCTTGAATGAGGGTGTGTTGTTGCCGGGGTGGGGTAGGGGAGGAGGGAGAAGTGATTTGGGTATGAATTGGGAATGTCTAGTTTAACGAAGAGAAGGACAAGGGGGGACATGATAGCAGTGTTCCAATATCTCAGGGGCTACCCCAAAGAAGAGGGAGTCAAGCTATTCTCCAAAGCGCCTGAAGGCAGGACAAGAAGCAACGGATGGAAACTAATCAAGGAGAGAAGCAACCTAGAACTAAGGAGAAACTTCCTGACAGTGAGAACAATTAACCAGTGGAACCACCTGCCTCCAGAAGTGGTGAATGCTCCAACACTGGAAGTTTTTAAGAAGAGACTGGACAGCCATTTGTCCGAAATGGTGTAGGGTTTCCTCCCTGAGCAGGGGGTTGGACTAGATGACCTCCAAGGTCCCTTTCAACTTTACTATTACTATTATTATTATTATTATTATTATTATTATTATTATTTCCTTGATATTGTGTTTTCATTTCCTATAAGCTGCCTCGAGTCTCCTGTGAGCGTGTAGGCAGCAATATAATACAAATTTTCCCAATAAATAAATACATCCCAGTTGCCCAGCATCCAAATTTTGGTCACGTGACCATGGTTGTTAAGTGCAAAAACCAGCCATGAGTCACTTTTTTCAGTGGCGTTGTAACTTTGAGCAGCCACTAAATGAATGATTGTAAGTTGAGGACTACTTGTGATCAGAAGCCTGCTTTCGTTTACCCCAAACTCCACCACTGTCTCTTTTCGTCTTAAGAAGATGGAACGCTTTATTTGGCCAAGCATGATGAGACACACAAGAGAAGTGTCTCTGGTGCAGAAGCTCTCAGTGTACATGCAAAACAACAGAGTGATCATAATGACACCAATAAGAGGGGGGGGGGAGTAAGGAAAGTAATAAGAAGGATAATAGTACAATTGTACAACATGGGTAAATACACACAAATAATTAAAATATTTTCCAAAGCACCTGAAGGCAGGACAAGAAGAAACGGGTGGAAACTAATCAGGGAGAGAAGCAACCTAGAACTAAGGAGAAACTTCCTGACAGTGAGAACAATTAACCAGTGGAACTCCTTGCCTCCAGAAGCTGTGAATGCTCCAACACTGGAAGTTTTTAAGAAGAGACTGGACAGCCATTTGTCCGAAATGGTGTAGGGTTTCCTGCCTGAGCCGAGGGTTGGACTAGATGACCTCGAAGGTCACTTCCAACTTTACTACTATTACTATTACCTCTGTGTCCACTCTGTTCCCTCATCTATTTGTTTTTGTCCCCAAATAAAATAACAGTATTGAATCATTAGGTCTCTATCTAAATCGTTTGCTATTCTACGATGATGATGATAATAATAATAATAATAATGTTGGAAGGGACCTTGGAGGTCATCTAGTCCAACCCCCTGCCATCCAGCCAGGATCTTTCCCAGGGGACTGTGAGGAAGGATGAAAACATTATCTCCCTTTCCCTGACCTTGGGAGTCTTCTCTTTGATCCTTCTGTAGCTTCCTGGAAGGTCTATTACCCATCAGTAGTTGGTGCCTGGTTCTCTTATCGTTTTCAATCTTATGAGACCACCTTACGCTTCACCAAGCCGCTTCCCTCCTTTTCCGTCCAATCTCCTCGCGGACGTATGGGAGCTCGTACTCAGGAGTCCGCACTCACTTCGCCTTGCCAGTCCTTATGACTCTCGGGGCGTCTCAGTAACACTCTCACAGGTATCAGATTCACACCAGCCTACCCACCCAGCCACCCATGTAACTGTGAAAATGCCCGGATTTCTTACCTGGGTCTGTGCACAGAGTTTCCCGGCAATTGATACTTGACCCACCTCCTTGCCTTGCCAGTCCTTCAGACCCTCGGGACATTCACATCTAGTGCATGTATATCTTGCCAGTCTTCAGGATCCTCGGGACATCCACAGCTTGTGTATGTCTTGCCAGTCTTTAGGACTCTCGGGGCATCCCCCCCAAAAATGACCTGACCTGCTTTGTTCCTGGAATCCACTATTTAGTGTCCAGTTCTTCACGGGTACCGTGCCGGGGGTGGTCACCTTTCAGGAGACTGTTGAAATCAATGTAGCACCTGCCCCTTGGGGCTGGCCACTCCCGGGGATCCAGGGATCATTTGGATATCCCGGACAAGCCCCCAAATTGTTTGGAACGTGGCTCAAGATCCCAAAACAAACAAACTCACTTGGAATTCCAGCAACAAAGTTTTATTCAAAATAAAGCGTTTGCAAAGGCTTGGTGGACTGAAACACACGCAGGAGTTCAGCCACACCTCCAAGAGCTGTTTGACACATTTTTATATCCTATCCCCCCCCCCGAAGCAGATTCACCCTCCCCTACCGCACTCAACGCCCCTTATCTCACCCGACAAAGCATTCAAGGCGGTAAAATCATTGTTATCCTCAGACTCCGTCCTAGCTCATTTCAATGAAAACCTACCAGTAACACTAGCCTGTGATGCTTCGTCATACGGCATTGGGGCAGTAGTAAACCACAGGATGCCAGATGGTAGAGAGGCCCCCATCGCATACTATTCTAGAACGTTATCATCGGCTGAAAGAAACTATGCTCAGATAGACAAGGAAGCCCTCGCCATAGTGGCTAGCATTAAGAAGTTCCACGGCTTTTTATATGGATGAACCTTCACCATCTTTACAGACCACAAACCTCTGTTTGGTCTCTTCACAGCACTGCAAATCCTGTCGCCGCAAATGCTACAATGGTCCATTTTCATGGCTGCATACTCGTACCGGGTAGTCCATAAGCCGGGTAAGGAAATGGGCCACACTGATGCTCTCAGCTGACTGCCTCTATCACAGACTGATCTCGACCCAGCCCCAGCTTGTTGTATCCTGGCGATCCAGGACCTGCCTGAAGCACCCCTACATGCAGGGGACATTGCAGCTGAAACCACCATGGACAGAACGCTTAGCCGCATTCTCAACCGGGTGTTAAGGGGATAGCCAGAGACCCGGCCAGACCCTGAGTTCCACCACTACACTTCTCAGAAAAATGAACTGTCGGCCCATAAGGGATGTGTGCTGTGGGACAGTAGGGTCATCATTCCACCCAGTCTTTGCTCCCAGGTGCTGGATTCCTTACACGAGGGGCACCCAGGAATTGTTTGAATGAAGGCTCTAGCCAGCAGCTACTTGTGGTGGCCAGGCCTGGGACAAGGACATTGAGAATCAAGTAAAGAGTTGCCAAGCCTGTCAAGAAACCCGACTGGAGATGCCACAAGCACCAGTGCACCGCTGGGAGGCCACGCACGCCCTGTGGTCTCCCATGCACATTGACTTTGCGGGCCCCTTCCAAGAGCAGGTGTCCCTAATTGTAGTAGACAGTTATTCCAAGTGGTTGGAAGTGGCACCGGTCTCATCGATGACAACAACCAAGGTCATCCAAGAGTTACGCCAGCATGGCTGCCAGATGTAATCATGTCCGACAATGGGGCACAATTCATGGCAGGAGAGTTTCTTTCTTTTTTTGAAACACATTTTATTGGTTTTTTAAATCTTAGAAAAAGGTGCTCAGGACACACCGTGGTGTTTGGGTAATCAAACATTCAACAATAGAACCATATATAAATAACTCAACTCAATACATTCAATGTCCCTTCTCTATTTCCCTTAACTAGCATAATACGTTTAAAATATTCCATTTCTAATTTAGATTTCTATAACTGCTAAATCTGTTTTAAAACTTTGTAAATTTACAATCACCATAATCAAATTTGACTTTAAATCAACAAGTTATCAATTCAGGTATCCCTTCCAGCTATATTCTAATTCTTAATCTCTTATATCCCTCATTGTATCACAAGTCTCATTTATTTCTTCTTCCACTACACAATACATATCCTAATTAAGATAAAATATTAATCTACCTATACATATATAATCCATCAATTGATCAATCTCTTTAAAATAACAAAAATAGTGTAAGTCTTAACTCATTTCAATTCATTAAACAAAATTCAAATTTCATCCAATTGATTATCATGCCTTATCACATCTATATGAGACTTATATACCGCTTTAAGTGCGAGCATTCTCTAAGCAGTGTACACCAGTAAGCAATGTATATATATATATATATTTACATTGCCCCCAACAATCTGGGTCCTCATTTTACCTACCCCAGAAGGATGGAAGACTGAGTCAACCTTGAGCCAGTGAGATTTGAACCACTGACCTGCTGAACACAGTCAGCTAAAGTGGCCTGCAGTACTGCACTCTAACTGCTGCGCCACCTCGGCTCATCTTGACAGGTTGGGCTAGGGATAAGGGATAAGAAAAGACCAGAAATTGTGAGATTTTGTAGAAGATATTCTTTATGTTCTAATTTTATAAACTGCCCAGAATCTAAGAATAATATCACCCTATATCAACCGAGTAAACAAATAAATTGCAACAAAAAAATGGGAAGCATTGTTTTGCATAGCAATAACAGGGCTGCACAATTTTGGAGCTGCAATCTCGCACTCATGGAAGAGGCAGTCATTGTAGATTTTGCAGAAGTTAGACTAAGCTTCTCTTCATTTCTTCTTGAAATGCCAGCTGCTGACATGTCACACAAGATCATTCTCCGATTTTGGTTTCCAGTCCTTCTCTTAGGAGCTGGTAAGTTGTGTTTCTGTGTGTATTTCTAGCTTTAGATACAGGTTCAAAGCAGGGTTGAAATTTGGGACTCAAAACATGATTTTGTTTCCTTGAGTCCAGGCAGGATCTTTACTGGAATAGATATAAAACCCTGAAGGAACTTTCTTCCCACCCGAAAGAGCTAAATTGGAGAAGAACTTGAAGAAAAAGATTGAATAAGATTGAAATTACAAATTCTAATTGTAATTTAGAAAGATGATTAGGGACTGGATTAGGGGACTGGAGGCTAAATCATATAAGGAACGGCTGCTGGACTTGGGTCTGTCTAGTTTAACGAAGAGAAGGACGAGGGGGGACATGATAGCAGTATTCCAATATCTCAGGGGCTGCCCCAAAGAAGAGGGAGTCAAGCTATTCTCCAAAGCACCTGAAGGCAGGACAAGAAGCAACGGGTGGAAACTAATCAAGGAGAGAAGCAACCTAGAACTAAGGAGAAACTTCCTGACAGTGAGAACAATTAACCAGTGGAACAACCTGCCTCCAGAAGCAGTAAATGCTCCAACACTGGAAGTTTTTAAGAAGAGACTGGACAGCCATTTGTCCGAAATGGTGTAGGGTTTCCTGCCTGAGCAGGGGGTTGGACTAGATGACCTCCAAGGTCCCTTCCAACTTATTATTATTATTATTATCGATCATCGCACAGTCAGCCAGATGTTCAGACTGGATTTGGCATTTTGTCTACCTATCGAGTCCTTACCCAGGACCTGGGATAGGCAGATGTGGATGTTTGATGGTATTACAGATATCGTCGCAGGATGGAAGCAGTTCCTAATAAGGCCGCCTTTTGCAATTGACTAATAGCGAATTTGTCAATGCCAATGGTGTTCAAGTGGTGCTCCAGTTGTTTTGGGATTGCACCCAAGGAGCCTATTACTATTGGTACTACCCTTGCTTGCTTTTGCCACAGTCTTTCTATTTCTATTTGTAGGTCTTTGTATTTTGTTATCTTCTCCAGTTCTTTCTCTTCTATTCTGCTGTCTCCAGGCACTGCCACGTCCACTATCCAGACTTTTTTGTCTTTCTTATCGACAATTGTTAAGTCTGGGGTGTTATGTTGCAGGTGCTTGTCTGTTTGAATTCTGAAGTCCCAGAGCAGTTTAATTTTATCATTTTCTATGACTTTCTCTATTTTATGATCCCACCAGTTTTTGCTTACAGGCAAATGATATTTTTTGCAGATCTTCCAATGCACCATTGTTGCTACTTTGTCATGCCGCTGCTTGTAATCAGTCTGTGCAATCTTCTTGCAACAGCTTACCAAGTGGTCCACTGTTTCTTCAGCTTCTTTGCATAGGCGGCACTTACTGTCTGTTGCTGTCTTCTCAATTTTGACTTTGTATGCATTTGTCCTTAAGGCTTGGTCTTGTGCAGCCAGAATTAGTCCCTCGGTCTCTTTCTTCAATTTTCCTGCTCTTAGCCATTGCCAGGTTTTATTATTATCTGCTTTCCCAGCTATTTTTTTCATGTATTGGCCATGTAGTGCTTTGTCTTCCCATGCCTCTATTCTGTTCTTCATTTGGTCTTTCTTGTAGGCCAGTTTGGTCTCTCCAGTAGTTAGTAAGCCTTCCTGATATACTAATTTCAGTGCATCTTCATCATTGTTCTTCAGATATTCTTCCAAAGCCATTTTTTCTTCTTCAACCATCTGATGTACTTGTAGCATTCCACGCCCACCTATTTGCCTTGGTAGATAAAGTCTATCAATGTCACTGCGTGGATGAAGGGCATGATTCATTGTCATTATTTTTCTGGTCTGCCTATCCATTGCTTTTAGTTCTGCTTGAGTCCAATCCACTATTCCAGCTGTGTACCTAATGACTGGGATTGCCCAGGTGTTGATTGCCTTTATGGTATTTCCTCCATTGAGTTTGGATTTTAAGATCTTCTTCACTTTCTTGATGTATTCACCTCTAATCTTATTTATTTTATTTATTTATTTATGAGACTTATATACCGCTTTAAGTGCAAGCACTCTCTAAGCGGTGTACACCAGTAAGCAATGTATATATATATATATTTACATTGCCCCCAACAATCTGGGTCCTCATTTTACCTACCCCGGAAGGATGGAAGGCTGAGTCAACCTTGAGCCGGTGAGATTTGAACCGCTGACCTGCTGAACACAGTCAGCTAAAGTGGCCTGCAGTACTGCACTCTAACTGCTGCGCCACCTCGGCTCTTTTTCTTGACTTCGGTGTGCTTGATGTTGTCAGCTTGAAGGATACCCAAGTATTTGTAGTACTCTTCCTCATCCAGACTCTTAATGTTATTTTCGTGGGGCATTTTGATTCCTTCAGTTTTCATTATTTTTCCTTGTTTGATAGTAAGTGTGGCACATTTGTCCAAGCCAAACTCCATTACAATATCTTGGCTATATATACGGACAGTGTTGAGCAGCGATTCTATTTCAGATGATTTTTTTCCATACAGCTTCAGATCATCCATGTAAAGGAGATGGGATAGTCTGGTAGATGTTTTTGATGTTTGATAGCCATGTCCTGAGTTATTCAGTATTGTTGACAGAGGAAACAGTGCAATAACAAATAGTAATGGTGACAATGAATCTCCTTGAAATATTCCTCTCTTAATATTAACCTCTCCCAGCTTCTCACCATTGATCTGCAACTGTGTCTTCCATTGAGCCATCGATCTTTGCACAAATTTTCTGATGTTTCTACTGACTCCTGTTATTTCTAGGCACTTTATTATCCAATCATGTGGCAGAGAGTCAAATGCCTTTTTGTAGTCAATCCATGCCACATTCAGGTTGGTCTTCCTTCTCTTGCAGTTTTCCAAGATCATTTTGTCTATTAGGAGTTGATCTTTTATTCCTCTGCTGTTGGGGCGGTTTCCTTTCTGCTCAGGTGGAAAGAGATTGTTTTCAACTAGATGCTGTTGCACTGCATCAGCTACTACAGCAGTTAGTAATTTGAAAGTTGTTGGTAAGCAGGTAATTGGCCTGTAGTTACCTGGTGTTGTCTCTTTTGCTGGATTTTTCATTATTAAGTAGGTTTTCCCAGTTGTTAGCCACTTTTCAATTTCTCCTCCTTGTAGTATATTCTTGAACTGCTTGGCAATGAGTGGGTGTATAACAGTTAGATGTTTCAATCAAAACCCATGCAGTTCATCTTCACCTGGTACTGACCAATTTTTGATTTTTTTTGCTCTTTTTTCTACCATTTTTGTTGTTATTACTAGTTCTTTCATTTCAACTTCTGTTTTATTTGCATCCACCTCTTTTAACCAAGCCGCATCCTTGTTGTATTTCTTTGGGTTATCCCATATCTGCTTCCAGAACTGCACTGTTTCTTCCTTGTCAGGTACTGGCTGATTCCTTGCAGTTTCTCCATTGATGGATTGGTAGAAATGTTTCTGATTGGATTGAAATTGGAGGTTCTGCCTATAGTTTGCAATTCGAGCTTCATATCTACTGATTTTCCTGGCTATAGCTGTTATTTGTTGCTTTATTATTTCCAGTGCTTCCTTGATCTTCCTTGTTTCTAAGTGGTAGTTCTTGATTAGGTATTCTTTGGTCTTCTTGTTCTTCAGCTTCTTTTCTTTCATCTGTTCTAGCTTGCTTGCATGTGATCTTAACTTGCTGATCTTATTTTCTAGTCTAACCTTCCATTTTTGTGGTGCACTGTTTGTTTGTTTTTCTTCTTTGTTGATTTTGCATCCCAGGTATTCAGTTATAACTGCAGCTGTGCTGTACATTAGTTGGTTTGTTTCTTGCAGTGAATTGATGCTTATACTTGATATTGCAGTATTTGCATCTTTTAATGCTTGTGCTAGCTGTTTCTTTGGAACAAGCTTCAATGCAGGCAGCCTTATTCTGTTGTTTTTGTGCTGTTTTAGATGCTCAGTTATTCTTTGTTTCAGTTCTTTTATTTCTTTAGTTAGAGGGTTTTGTTCTTCCTGAGGAAGAGGTGCCTGGTTTCCAAATGAGAACAGTTGTATATCTCTGCTAGATTCCTTCACTGCCAACTCCCCCTGGTTTGCCTTATTATTATTATTATTATTATTATTATTATTATTATTATTATTATTATTATTATTATTATTATTATTATTTTGTTGTTATTATTATTATTATTATACAATTTTGGAAACATTTTCTGGAAGATCAGAGAAGCAAATAAAATGGTTCAGATTGCTAAGCACTATAATACAAAAAGTAAAAGACTAAAATATTTTATAACATTTTATTTGAAATACTAAAATACTAAATTCTGGTCCCAATTGTAGTTGTAAGAGGAGCACTACCTGTATAAACTCAGAGCAGCAGTGATTTGCCAAAATGTATTCCCATCGCAGCCTTCTGCACGAGCTCGTGTCAGCATCTACTGGGGGGAAGTTCATCAATGGACATATTATATTCATATCCCCATTGATATTGCAGTCATAAGCATCTCATTCAGAAGTCACCCGTGCCATATTCAGCAGTACTTCCTTTTATTTATAGATAACGTTTTGAATGACTTGATGCAAACTTTAAAACTGTACTCTGTTAAGGTGACCAACTGTCCTCCTTTTCGATATTTGAAGACTAATCTGCAGGGCTTTTTTTTTCTCATAGAACGCTCAGAACGGCGTTCCGGCACCTTTTTTGATGATTTTTTTTCAACTTTTGCATGAGCTGTGCTACTCCCCCTATTGGTTTTTGAAAGCCAATAGGAATTGCTGCTGAGTGTGCCAAAACACCTGGCCAGCAAACTTTGCACATGTAAGTTGTCTGCAGCGAAGGCGAATTGGCAGGAACTTTGCACCCCTCCCTGCTACCCAACTACACCATCTCCTAGTTAGTCCTGAAGACCACTCTTGATCTTTCGCCCTGCTAGGGCAATAATGGCTGTGGGTGCAAGAGGCAAGGGCAGTGAGGCTGCTGCGGGCGGGGGTATGTGAGGGGAGGCAGTGGCCGGTTGCCCCCTGTGCTGTGGGAGCCGCAGGGCCTGCTCTACACG